AATATCTGAGAGAAGGTGAGAGAAAGGGTTTGTGTGTGTCAGAAATTCACAGGTATTGGATTCTTCTAACTTTCCTTTTCTCTTCCTTTTTTTACCAGAAGGTAGAGTTTGTCAGTTTACAGGAAGCTTACATAAAATATCCAGGTTGTGGGGCTGCAAAAAGGATGTTAATTACAGGTGCCCAGAAATTAATTTACAATATGTGTATATTAGGAGAAATTTGCACCCGAACACTGGTGAATTTTCATGAGGATTTTTTAAATTGCAAATTGCTGCAGAAATATGTTTAACTGAATAAGATTGAAAAAATTAGAAACTAAGCAAAATCTAAACTGACAGATTCATCCCTCTATTCCTAATAAGGATGTAGTCGTCCTTCACTTGTTCTGTTTACAGGGATCCAAGTAGAGGGGCTACTCCTTGTGGCATCCACCCTGTGGAATGCCCTCCCATCAGATGTCAAGAAGATAAATGACTATACAACTTTTAGAAGACATCTGAAGGCAACCCTGTATAGGCAAATTTTTAGTGTTTGATGTTTTATTATGCTGTTATATTTGTTAGAAGCCACCTAGAGTGACTGGGGCAACCCATTCAGATGAGTGGGGTACAAATAATAAAATTATTGTTGTTATTGTTGTTGTTAAATCAAAAATCTGTTATGAAAGTTATCTGGAAGGACTAAAACTAAGAGCTGGATCCTAAGTAATTTGCACTTAGTTTCGACTGAGGTTATTGGGACTTAATTCATGACTTTCGCATTAGGACCCAAATGAAACTTAGATCCATCACTAGGTATCAGCAAATTTTCACTTGCCATTGCTCCCATGCCTATCCCCAAACAGCCATTATGCTGCTGCTGCTGCTTGCATAATCAAATCCAGTATTTTCTAACATGGAATGGACATTTAAAAAAACAACAAAAAAAACAAAAAAACAACCCACCACCAGAGCTCTTTCAACAACTCCCCACCCCCCCCAAAAAAGCCTTTTTAATATGTGAAGCCGTTCTCTCATCTTAATGGGCTCCATATTCAGGTAGTTTATCTTTAGATGTGGCTCAAAACCACGTCGTCTCTTGTAGTGCAATTAATTTGATGCTCTGTCTCCAATTTTTCCCCAGTCTGCCGTGAGCGAAGCTTTGTACTTTATAAGACGTGTTGTTTCCTAGAGGTGTTGGCCTTCAGCCCATCTCCCATTTGTTTCCACCTGATTGCCAATATTCATCTGGTATTCATCTGAAGGGAACTTTAATCGCTCTCTCACACACTGACTCCCTTGCACCGGCACCCTTGTTATGTGGTACGTCACTTACCTAACTTTCCCCTCTGTCCCTTGGGCCTCGGGAGTTATGTAATGTTTTACAGGGACACCTTCCTTTCTCCAGGAAGCCGCACACACCCATCAGAGGTACAAGAGATTTGGCTGGTGAACCTTTCATGGCACAGAGAAGCCAATATGCTCTTGCTCTCCTTTTGGTGCTCCGTTTTTAAAAAAGAGTTTTGTAAAGCATCAGAAGAGCATCCAGAAGAGCTCTGCTGAACGAAGGCAATGACCCATCTAGGCCAGCATCCTGTTCTCACAGTGGTCAACCAGATACCACAACAATAGCTACTAATCAGATGTACACCATGGGAAAGAGAGAGGCTTTCACAAACCACTTTGTCAACTTTCTCCAAAATGTTTCCAGCCCAGGAGCTGCAGGCAGTGGTGTAGCGTGGGGGGTGTAGGGGGGGCTGGCCGCACCGGGCGCAACATCGGGGGGGGGGCGCTCGCACTCGCAGCTCTCTGCCCCTACTAAAATCCACGGGTTAGGGGGCGCAAATTACTTGCCTTGCCCCGGGTGCTGACAACCCACGCTACGCCACTGGCTGCAGGGGTAATTCTCGAACGCAGCTGGCCTTCTGCCAGGATTACTCCTTTAGCACACCATCCGGAGAGATCAGTCATATGCTCCTATGATCTGCAGTGCATGAGTTAGAAAGAACAGTCCCAAGACATAAAGCCCAGACAAGGCCAGGGTGGGGTGTATGTGCGTCAAGAGAGCTAGGGCAAATCTGGAAAACCTTTTGAAAGCTAGCACCAGGACAAAAAGATATGCAGTTATAGCATTCCTGCCTCAGATAAATGACTCTCCAGGGAGGAGTATTCCTGAGACATCTTTTGCCCACTGGCTGTAATTAAATGCATTTCCACTGAAACAAAGACAAAAGGAGAACGAAGGGGGACAAAAGCCCCTTTGTAGTTCTAGCAGCAAATGAGTTGAAAAATCTCTCATTTTATTTTAGTTCTCAAAGAGCTGTGGATAGATTACTTAAAAACCTCAATATGCAAATACAATGTTGCTGTTGTTTTAATGAGGAAAGGCAGGTCTAATGCTCAGAGGATTTGAAACACATAAAGGGTTAACTACGACAAAGGGTTTAGTTGTGTCCATTAATTTAAATGGGTCTATGGTGTGTAGAAGTGACATCGGTTACAGTCCATTATGAGGAGAAAATGTGCACTAAGATGCTGGCATATTTTTCTGGGGTCTCTTTTTAAACAGGTGCAAAACAAATTTAAGATTGGACAAATGGAAAACTGGGCGGAAACTGGCTGATTTGTCCACGCTTGAAATGGGAACTGGAACAGCAACAGGATGATGTCTCCCCTTCTTCAGCACTAGATGAGTACCATCCATGGATTGCTGCCGTCTTACGGAGACACCCTCTGTCTCTTTTGGAGCATTTTGGGCAAACCTATGAAGATTACAAAGGCCTCAGCCCGTGTCTTTCTCTTCTGGATAGCTGTAACATTAGAGAGCTGATCTCTGGAGTAGGAAGGTTGCGTTATCATGATGGAGTGCTGGATCAGTGTATTCCGGGTCCATGTAAGCTTCCATGTTCATTCATACATCTGTTTACTCCCATTTCCACATCACTGCAATTAAAACAACAACACTGTGAAATCTGCATTATCTGTACCATATTTTTTCACAGAACAGGAATTTTTGTAAGCTTTTAAAATCCCAAAATACACATTTTTTTGTGCTCACTTTATCCCAAAATACACATTCTCACCCACAATTTAACCTAAAATGTGCATTTTAATACCCATTTTGTCATGATTTTTGATCCAAGAACTGCATTACAAAATACAGTTACACTCTCCGCTAGTTCATGATAAACAGGACATCACAGGGAAATAAAACATTCCTGCATATTACTGTATTGCTATTCGGCAACTAAGTACATGGCCCAATGAACTCCCAAATATCTTAACTTTCATCGTCATCTCTTCAATTTTAAATGTCCTTATTAAGCCTATTTCTGGCAAAGATACTCAGGCACCTCTAAGGGCAGTACTATAGAGAGCTTGGATCCCACAGTGGTTAGAGTGTGGGACTAGGACAAGGGTCAAATTGTCACTCAAGCCATGAAGCTCACTAGGTGACATTGGGCCAGTCACTGCCTCTCAGCCTAACCTACCTCACAGGGTTGTTGTGGGGATTAAATGAGGAGGGAGAGACCCATATATGCCATCTTGAGCTCCACTGAATTGTGCCATGTGGCAATTAGTGGTTGCTGGCGGCATTGCCACAGAGGCTGCCTGAGTGCCCCCGTTGCTTTTGTTGTCACTAATTTGAAGTGATATCATTTTACTGCTCACTTTGCTGCTAGGATTCTGATTACTTTGTGCCAACGTTAACAACTGCTGGCACAGCTGAACCATAGAATTGCTCTGTTTAATTCATGCAAATGGCATCTGCAACCAGGGATGAGTTTGCTGTTCGGCGGATGCTTGTTTTTTTTAATACACCATGTTATCACTACTCGTACTTGGTCCATAGCAGTTTGCATGTTGTAAATTTGTATGATTTCCACACAGTATGGGGATCTGCAGAAATAACGTTATTGTTTAATTCCCCTGGTGGTGGCATAATCACCTATTATATAATGGATGATCTTTACTTTTTCTTGGAAAAACATAATCAACTTTGGCAATTGCTTTGGCCATTGCTGCATGGATTAATGCTATAGTAGGAGCCACCAGAAAGATTATTGAAAACATATAACAACAGGGAAATGAAATCAATACACCACTTATTTCACGTAAGCATTTAAATAACAAAAATGTTACGTTCAGCTTTTTCAAATAAAACACCACTTGTTTGCAAAAATCATTTTATTGGAAATATAATTTTCTTTAAAAAATGTATTCAGTTTTAACTGATTCAATAATGTAAATAAGTAACATTAACAATACTTATTTTAGTATGATCCACACTGTAAATATTCAGACTAATGCAAGCTGTTTTTGCTTTATGAGTCATCACCCATGGTGGATAGGTTTGACTTGTATTGGTCTCTGTCTCTCCTGTATTCTTCCTTCTTCTGTGTGACAAACAAATGGAAACCGTGATATTAATATATGCTATTTGTATATTTATTTAATATTGTAAAATGTATATATCACTTGATCGTTTAAAAAGTCAACAAACTCCTGCTTTATAAGGGTCCCTTCTCAGAGAATGAGTCTGCTATTCATTTCTAGGATTTTGTCACTGGGATGTGGTTTGCTTCCTGGCCTTGTATTCAAGAACAGCAGTAAGGAACCTGGGAGCAAAAGTGGCCCTCCAGCTTTCTCTTTCCAGGCTTGGGACTCCCTCTTCAGGCTGCCCACTTCACTGGCCCTGCTCTTCATCCTCCATGAGTGATTTTACTAGGCTGTAATGTACCCTCAAGTTGTGATAATGCCTCTTGCTAGCCTAGATAGAGGGTGAAGAATGATGTGTGTATGTGGCTACACTCATCGTTGCCATGTGGCCCCCAAAAGATTGTCCATGTGGGAACTTGGCCCTTGAGCTGGAAAAATTTCCCCATCCTTTCCCTAGAAGAAAGTTGCACAGCAACCTCTTGCCAATGCATCATGGGTTGGTGGAGGACACAGGTGGTTTATGACATCATTGCTGTTATAGAAACCAGGTGCCCTCACAAGGAAACAGCTGCTTTCTGCCCAAAGGAGACCAGAAAGCAGAGACAGTAGGCAGCACCTCATGTCTGGCAGAGTCACCCAGGCCCGTCAACTGACAGAAAACCCCCCGAACCCTCCGGGAGCAAGCTATTGTTCTACTTTGAAGGCACAGAGATGGCTCAGGAAATTGATTGGTTAAACAGCCAGGCGGGCCTGTGCCGAGTCGATCTGTACAAGCATGATGTCCCCAAAGACAAGAACTGCGAAGTGGTTTGCTTCATCGACGTCTCCAGCCTGAACTTGAAGGAGAAAGATCCCAACAAAGCCAAGAAGACCACCAGCCAATCCAGCATCGTGTCTGTCTCTTCCAATGACTTTGACCTGGCCTTGGAGAATCTGGAAGAGAAAGACGTCATTGTGATCAAGGACAACGAGCGGAACAATGCCATCAACACCGTTTGCCTTTTCAAGCAAGGCTCCTCTGACGAAGCCAATGTGGTGAACTGGCTCAGCAATGACCTTCAGAAGTACGCTGCTGGATTCCAGCAGGCGCTGTCCAATTTCGAGGGTCCTCCGTTGAAGTCCAAGCAGCCTTCCCACGCATCTGTAACTGACAAGATTTCCCAGAACACGTCTTTCCAAGGTTCTGATGCAAACATGCTTCTGATCCCTGAGTTTGGACGGGGCGGTTTAAGCCCCTCCTAAACCCCAGAGAAAGAGCCCATGGGGAGAAGCCCTGATGTGGGCTTCTCTTGGCTCCTCTGCCACGGTCTCTGTTTGCAATCTATTTATTTGACTGCACATTATACAGTGACTCTCAAAGGAGTTTCAGTTTCTGGTATCTGAAAACCAGGAGTTGGAGATACATAAATAATAAAAAAATGCATACTTGACATCAGCTTTCTGAGGTTTTCTTTTGGAGCACATTTTTGTTTACGTTGTTACATGTCTGCAAGGAAGCGGTGGCGGTTGGGAGACTTTGGCTGTATGGCTTTCCCACTGTGATCTGAAATGGCCAGACCTTAAATGAAGGAACTTGCTGTAAGCTATGGCAGGCTGTCACAAACAGGCCCAGCTGAGCTGCACCCTGGCTGCCCTGCCTGACCGCAGAGAAGGAAAGGGCATGGCTGAGCTGTGAATCTGGAACATATCTGAGCAAACTTTCCTCCAACTCAGGAATATTCCATCAGGGTGCTCTCTACCTCGGCCAGCATGGCCAACAAGCAAGGATGATGGGAGATGCTGTCACAAACATCTGGAGGGTGGCTATCCCTGATCCAACCTCTTAAAAGTGGGCTGTGGATGCTTGGGCTCACTCCCCATGGGAGCCCAACATGATCCCCAAGCATTTGGAGTTTCCCCCCTATACATTAATAGATCAAAACCATCTAAAGCAGGTGAGGGACACACAACGTGGGCCTCCAGATGTTTTAGCTCCCAACATCGTTTGTCCTTGGTTGTACATACTTGTTTCTGTTGCTCAATATCATCTCTCATTAAAAAACTTTTTAAAAAATGCTCATTAAAAATAAATTGCATGGCACATAGCAGAGGGCTTCACAACAAATACAACAGAATCATAACATAACAGTGCACATCAATTGCTCAAAGAAGCATAAGGAGCCACACCCAGAAGGTCACATCTGGATAAAAGTTTGAGAACCTGTAGGAACAATTTAATCAGGAAGGTGTTCAGCTAATAGGTCCAGTCACAATGGGTTGTTGCTTTTTAAACACTTGAGGATGTTATAATGCCTCCCTGCCCAGCTATATAATGCAAAAGGAATCCTAAGTGCCTGCAAATTTGACACATTAACTTTCATCCCTGTTGTTTTGGGTTAGAGAAATAGACCTTGGCCCACCATCCCTGAATAGCAAAGTGTGTTGGGTGTTTCCAGTGAAGGGTCATTTCCATTCTAGCTGCAGCTAAGATAGAAATAATCAGGTCCTTATACATCAAGCCCTTCACAGATTGATTAAATAACTTTTGAGGTACTTATCTGAATCCGCCTAGCCAGAAACAAGCGTAGGACGAAAGGAATGAGCAGACTACACTCACCTCCCAGTAATTATGATCTCTAGTTTCAGGAAATGAATTTTCATTTTTTTTATTCATTGTTTTCCAATAAGGTTTTTGGCTGGCTACCATTAATCCCATCACTTTATTACATTTTTCACCCTGCCTTTCCTGCAAAGACTTTGGAGCAGCAAACATGATTCTCCCATCTGCCCATTTTATCCTCACAACAATTTTGTGATATCGTCGGAGAGCACAGATGCAAGGAGGCAGCAAATTCTGTTCTGTTCAGTATTCAGCGCTGTTTTTCACCAGTTGTTGTTTTTTTTTGCCAAGTACTACATCGTGCATCTCACCGTCCATTGTTTAATGTAAGTTACATAACTTGCATCCGTTTCAACGTAAAAGGAAACGTGAAAACAATGTTGAGAAAGCAAAAAATCAACTACCTGTGATTGTGTATTGTTTGCAGATTTTTAAAAACAAGAGCAACCATGATGTGAGCAAATATTGATTGTATTTTCTCGGCTGATTTCTGTTCCTGACCACAGATGAGTGTACGAACTTGTTGGTATTCATCAACATCCTTAGTTGAGAGACAGTGACTGACCCAAGGACACTCCAGCATCACAGCTGAGTGGAGATTCAAACCTGGGTCACTACAGCCCGACATACTAATGCCTGTAGCCCACCAACTCTCTTGAAGACATGCCCCCTGCATCCAGCACACTATTGGACCCTTCTCTACCCACCCCTTGAAATCTGATCGGTGGTCTTATTCTGCAGGGATGATGGTCAACCTCCATCAGAGATGGAACAAGATGAGACTCAGAACACTCAGCACACAGCCTTCCTGTATGCAGAGAACCGCAAGCGACGAGGGGCGGTGGTGGTGGTAGGAGAGGAATGAAAACCACACTGGGATGCTCAGCATCTTCAATGAGCTGATTGTGTCCAGGGCTAAATTTGAGCCCTGAAAAATATCCGGAATGCTGAGCATCAGTGTCACAGGGCAGCTGCAACTTAGGCCACAGAAGAGGGAGGGCAGGGCTCTGGGTCAGTTTTTAAAACCCAGAGAATATTCACTATAAAAATCCACAGAGGGTAATTCCAAGACAATTTCTCTGTCTGTGTGTGGGAATTAATTTCACTTCAAATATGGTACTGGTACCACAATGATCCTGCAACAGCAATTCCAATGTTTTGGTCTGTGGACCATTGGTGGCCCCCAAAACCACAGCAAAAAAAACCAGAGAGCATGTTGAAAAGCTTTCCCGCTGTAAATACTGGCGAGTGCTAGATTAAAATCATCCATCTGATTGTTTTCTGATAAATGTCTCTGTGGTACATGGTCTTTGCAAACCTGGGAATTCTTCCCCTTAGGGTGGACTGGGGTTAGAGTCCAGACCCTCTGCAATGGGGCCAGGTTGCTGAATGCTGCTAGACCCAGTTAGTTGTATTGAGCTGCATCTTGACGAATCATCACAATAAACAGAGAGCTGCTCTACAAACTGGAAAGAAGCAGAAGATGTTTCAGGGATCCTCCTACCAAAACAGCAACCCAGATGAAAACACTGAAAGAAAAAGCTGGTCTTTAATTAAAACAAACAAATAAATCAAGAATCAAATGGAGGTTTGGCTCCTGTCCTGTGCAAGTCAATGGAAACATTGCTGCTGTCATTATTCATGAACATGCCGCATTCTTAGTGGTTGAGAAGGTTGTCTGTAATTTTGAAGGCTCAACGTAAATTGGATGATGTTAATCTGACTGGCTGCATGCCAGCTTCATCATCAAGGCGTGCAACTGCGGCTGCTGTTTGCTTCATCCAAACTAAGTCTGCCCTATCTCTTTCTGAGCTTAAAGGAGGGGTGAATAGGTGTGGATTTTTATCTGGATTTCTGCTAAGGAGAGAATTGGGCTAGACCGGGGTGTTCTCAAGAGTTGCCTTTGGTTGATTGCATGAGTGAACATGTATAATAATCTTAATAATAGTTTGCAGAGATCCCGAGAGCTCCACTTTTGAATCTTTCCCCCCAGTAGGCTATCTGAATCTGATGCTTTGCCTAAGCAGGCGAGTATAATAATGTAACTGCTATAATTTTCATCAGACACCATGAAAAGAGCTGGCTTTCCCAGCCTGTCTCTCTCTCTGGAGGGATTTATTTGTGGAAAGGGCTGGGCCGCAACACTTGCCTGTGGAGTCTTTCAAAATGTCCCATGAGAGAGGTAATTTTAAAGGAGAAAAAGCCCCTGATGCCAATCCAACCGTTTTTCAAAGCATCCAGAGGGCTTTTGGACAGGCCTTGATGATAAACGAACAGAAAATTATGTAGACTAACTTGCATGTAGACCATGCCTCGCCTTTGTTACATTTGGCTATATGAGTTAAATCTGGCAGGGGAAAATATCAACGAACACTACAGTGGTACCTCGGGTTAAGTACTTAATTCATTCCAGAGGTCCGTTCTTAACCTGAAACTGTTCTTAACCTGAAGCACCACTTTAGCTAATGGGGCCTCCTGCTGCCGCTGCGCCGATTTCTGTTCTCATCCTGAAGCAAAGTTCTTAACCCGAGGTACTATTTATGGGTTAGCGGAGTCTGTAACCTGAAGCGTATGTAACCTGAGGTACCACTGTACTGTCCTCAATCCACTTATTGTAGCTGAGGTAGGGATTGTTGTGGAAAATGGTTGCTTTCAAAACCGATAATAAGTGGTTTGGTGCTGTTGGCTCCTTGTTGGAGTGAACACACCTTGTGTGAGATTCTTCCTGTGTTTCTGTGACTTTCCAAGCCCTCCAGCCTTCCCTGCTTGGAGAACATGTGAGTTTGAGCAAGATGCTAAGGAAGCATCTCACCTCTCCCATCTCCTAGGACACAAGTGTGAACAGACCACTCAGACCCATTTGAAGGAGGGCCCATTTGCTCACCTGGTCTAAAGACACATTTCACTCACTGTGCTAAAGCTGTGCTGACCCCACTCTTTAAGAGCAAAGAGCCAGGGGCGTGTCACTTGCTGAATCAACTCTTAGCTTGGTAGCCATGCATTTTACCTGCGGTGCCTTTTAACCCTTGCCTTGCCTTACTGTACTGATCTGAGCAGTAAAGGTTTTGGCAAAAACCACCATTCAAGTTTGCATTCTTAGTCCAGCAAGAGCCAGGATGCAATTTTTCATGTGGGTTTCCAGCTTTTCTATAAAGAGCTGTCAAAAATAAAAACTGGGCACATGCACCCCCCCAAAAAAAAGACAGAAAGAGGAGAGTATAAATCCCTTGTTGATACAAACTTGACAGGAGCAGAGGAAAAAAATACTGCTAGCCAGTTCATCAAAAGTATCAAGCTAATGAGGAAGACATTCCCTGCCCCTTGGAAAAATGTATCAAATTTGCCTATGAACACAGTGAAATCAGTGGTATGGGAAATACCTTTTTTCAGAGCAGTTTTCTAGTTTGAGTCTATTCAGAGGGTAGCTCAGAACGTCTCCAAATACGCTGAATGCAACTGCAGCTATTTGCTTCAGAAGAACATCTGTGAACATCTCTCTATTCCTATTCACATTTCCGTGAACATCTCTCTATTCCTATTCCAGCACCAGAGGTCCACAGGGAGCCTCATTTCTGAAATTTTGACTTGGCAACAGACTAAAAATAAAACACTCTGGCCTTTTTCACGAGCTGAATATTCTACAGTGCAGGGGTGCTACAACAAATGTAAGAAAGAAGAGCCTGAATATTCCATATGGAATGAAAAAAAGTGATGCAACAGTACCAAAAAGCTTGTATCGCTGCCTCACCCAGTGTCAAGAATGTGGAACCACAACTCCCAGCGTCCCAGACCAATGGCCATGCTGACTGGGGTCCCCAACCCCTGTTGTAAGACTTGTTTTGCTGGATCCTGTGACTGTCAAATTGTTGAAAGTTGCTCTGGCACCAGATGGTCTGAAAGGCAGGTGATCATCATCATGAGACCATGACCCATCGAATCCAGCATTCCACTTCCAGGAAGGGCCATCAAGATGCCTCTGGGTATGCAGGATGTAATGGTGTTAGTTTCCCCCATTGTCTTTCTGGGCTGGATGAATTGAACATCCAACCTGAACTAAGGCACGGAGGCTGGTTCACTTGGGCAAATGGGATACAGACCCACCAACCTCAGTCTGGCTTAGCCAGCCTCTGCCTGTCTCCATTCCTACTTACCACCAATCCAGTGTTGCCTCATGTAGAACTGAACAGGGATGATACAAAACTAGAATCAGCTGGTTCTGGCACCACCAGCCATTGGGCTCCTTGCCTCCTACCCCATCAGTCCTCATAGGCACCTGCTGCCACTGGATATAAAGCAGCTGCCTAGTTCAGGCATAGGCAAACTCTGGCCCTCCAGAAGTTTGGGACTACAATTCCCATCATCCATAGCTAACAGGACCAGTGGTCAGGGATGATGGGAATTGTAGTCCCAAACATCTGGAGGGCTGGAGTTTGCCTATGCCCGGCCTAGTTTTATATGCAGAGCCGCAAGTAATGAAAGCAATGAGAAATAAAGCAATGTACCTGTATGTGTGAGCCGGCCAATTTGCATATATCCAGTATATTTGCATATATCCAGTAGCTGCAGGAAAGACACTTGAAGAGCCCGGCCCTCCTTAGCTTTCTCCCAAAGTGCACGCAGTGTGGTCGGCCTATGCTGTGTTGCTCCATAAAACCTGAGCGTGGCTCGGGGTCTTGGCTTGCTGCCTGGCGTTCCATAAACAGTGTTTGGCCATAAAGAAAACAATGATTGAAATGTCTATAAGCTTTTCCTGGAATGGAGGAGTGTGTGTCAGTGCTGATTTCAGGGATGCAGAGCAAGCGTTTGTTCTGCATTGGAAACATCTGGGGTTCTGTGCAGGCACAGCGTGCGTCGCCGTGTCAAAAATTGGACTTTGCGAAAGGAGTGCCAATTTCCTCCCTGAAACCTATAACACAAGTAAGTGCATTGGGAAATCTGACAAATCATTTCTGAAGTGTTTCTTCAAGAGTTGTAATGGGCTTAATATCTATATCCCACCATTCCTCGGGGTAGCCTATACTGAGTTTTCCTATTTCCCCTCCCAACAAACTACTCTTTGACTAGGTGAGGCTGCGAGAGGACAACTGGTCCACAAGAGGGGTGAAATAAGGTCTTGTTTTCTGTTTCTCCATCTATTTGTCGCATGCAGCGCTATTTCCATTCTTTCCCCACTTCATCTCCCCCATACCAGAAAAAATGATGTTATTTGACTTGCTGTCCACTGTGGCAAAATTATACAACTTACGTAACTAATTATATAAGTTACTTACCTTACATTGAGATTAGCACTATTCTACCCCATTAAGTTCAATGCAAAGGAAACACAATGCAGGTTGGGGGGGGGCATAATTAATCATGTATTGTTTGTGGAGTGAAAGCAACATATTTATTGAACATGGGATTAATAAGTGAACACCACCAATATCCATTCCCATTTCCATTTTGGTCAGAATTCTCCAACATCCTTAGACCACAGTGACCCACAGCTGGGAGGTAATTTGAACCCAGGTCCCCTCCCTTATCTAAGTTTGCAGTGGGAGCAATGGGGGAGAGATTCAGCTGAATTTGCATTTTAATGCAAACTTACCTAAGACATGTTTTCTGAAACTATCTGAGGACAGAAACACAGCTATCCTTCAAAACCCACACTTCTCCAAATTGTGTGATGCTGTTCTCCACCTAAAAAGATGGGCACAAAAATGCATACGTTGGGAGAAAGTGTAGTTTTATACAAAAAAAATGCATATATTGGTGAAAAATACGTATGAAAATGTGTTATATTAGAAGAAATAGTTTGCAAAAAGCAATTAGGAAAAATTGCATGTAAGGAGGTGTGTATTAGGAGAAATATGCACTAAAACACTGATGAGTTTTCATGAGTTCTTTAATTTTCATGAGGATTTTTTTTTTAAAATCACAAACAGATGTGGAAATGTGGAGACCTGAAGACTGGGAAAATGAGAAACTGAGTGTGTCAGATTCACCCATCGCTAGGAGGCACTAAACATTGCTGGTCCCTCCACTGCGCCAAGAGAGTGTCCTTGCATCCTCTCTCTTCCCTGCAGCCTGGTCCTAGAAGTCTTCCTGATCCAAGTCTCACACTCTTCCATTCCACCTGACTGGCTTTTTCATTGCATCCCCATGCGCCGGCCTTCACAGCCCATCACTTTTCACCCCCAAAGGCTAGATTCCGTGCCCCACCCCCCAGCATCTGAATGGACCCAAATGCTACTTACTACTTTGTACGGCAGTTCATGTGAGCATTATGGCAAACAGCCCCCCCACTGGCAAGCTCTGTAACTTCTCCTTTTAAAAGTGCCTTTGGGCAAGATGCAACAAGTCTTTATACACATGGTGCCTCTTTGTCTGTGATTTGACTTATGCATAACAAAGACGAGGGGAAAACCATAATAGAGCTATACAGGCTGCGCTGTTGGCAATGGGAGATAAATTATTAAGTAGATGCAGGAACCGAGACTCCACTTCCTGGCATCTGCAGACTGGGGTGTTGAACTTCTGAGCATTGCATGGTGACAGAGGTGGGGTGGGGGGTGGGGGCTTGCATTGGGGGTGTGATCATCACCCCTCCCCTTAGGACTGCCTCTCTTTTCTGTTTCAGGTGTTATAGTCGAATCCACTCCATTGTTATCTTCTGCAGAATCTCTCTCCCCACTCCCAGTTATTAAACAAAGCACAAACGATGGCTTCACACTTCGCTGAGCTGGTGCACACAATTTCTCACTGACAGCCCAGGGTAAGCCATTTCTGGAGTCAGGAAGGGAATCTAGCATTGCAAGGGGTGGGGCAGAAATCTCTATCTATATGAAAGAAATGCAAAGCTGATGACACTTAACTGCTGTTGTCCAGCTACACTGTAGGCAGGTGATGAATGTTCAGCAGTCATGATGATTGTTTGCAGTCTGTTAACTAACTATGACAGAGTACAGTGAGAACGGAAATGCTGATAAGACTTTACTAAAGGAACCTGAGCCAAAACAGTGTATAATTTGAGGAGAAATAAACAGAGAGCTTTTGTTTTCCTTAGGTCAGGCCTTGTACACAGCAGGGAGACGTTCAGCCAAAGATCCAGAGGAGAAACTCATTCAGAACGACACAGATTGCTGTAAAAATACATGACCAGGGTCAAGCACACCTGTTTTGTCAGGTTCTATACTTCATTCTAGTCTAAATAACACTCCGCCAGGGCCATCCAACTCACTTTCCCTTTCTACCTGCCAAATGTGGAGGGAAAGACCAGCTTGGCAAGGGCTAGCAAAACGCTGTGAGACAAGGTGCTTTGAGGATGGGAAGGTGGCAGGGCTATGCTAGCAGAGAAATTCCTGGATCCTCAGCTGGCCTTCCTGCCACCATGTAACAGCACAGGGCCCTGATTGCTGTATCGACATGGAACTGGAGAAGGGATTGGGCCTGATCATCCTGCCCCCTGCCACCACCTTCCTATGCATTCGCTGCAAGCATCTGGGCTGTGGATGCTTACCTAGGATAAATGCTGTGGAAGCTTGTCTTTGAATCCTTGAATGCTAGAATTGTAGAGTTGGAAGGGACCCCAAGGATCATCCTGCAAGGCAGGAATCACAGCTAAAGCATCCCTGGCAGATGACCCTCCAACCTTCAAAGAGTCCACCACCTTCTGAGGTCATCCATTCCTTTATCAAGTAGCTCTCATTGTCAGGAAGATCTTCCCAAAGTTTGGCCAGAATCTCCTTTCTTAAGTGCAAGTTCAGTGGCCTGTTGGCACTTTAGAAGAAGAAGAAGTGGAGTTTGGATTTGATATCCCGCTTTATCACTACCCTAAGGAGTCTCAAAGCAGCTAACATTCTCCTTTCCCTTCCTCCCCCACAACAAACACTCTGTGAGGTGAGTGGGGCTGAGAGACTTCAGAGAAGTGTGACTAGCCCAAGGTCACCCAGCAGCTACATGTGGAGGAGCGGAGACACGAACCCGGTTCCCCAGATTACAAGACTACCACTCTTAACCACTACACCACACTGGCTTTACACCGGCCTCTGCTGACCTGGTGCCCTCCAGATGGTTTGGACTACAACTCTCATTCTGGGGCTGATGGGAGTTATAGTCTAAAACATCTGGAGGGCACCAAGTTGGTGCAACCAGCTTTAAAAGAAACCTCCTCATCAGCTATAAATCATCCAGGCAGGGTGCTGCTGTGGTGTTGCTGCAGACAGTGCTTTGAGGGATGTCATGACTCAATCTTTCAAGGTCCTGGGAGGAATTTTCCTGTAAATATTTCCCTGCTGATCTTTGAGCTTCAAGGGAGAAGCTCAGTTTAACTGGTGATGTCTGAGCAACAAAAAACAACTGATATCTCATCATTTGGCTGCATCTCTCATATATAGGGCAGAAAATGAAATGTGCTGGGTAGAGGGGAGAAGAAATAGATTGTGTTAATTAGATGTGGAGAACAGGGGGCAGGGAGTGTGTAACAATATTGCAGAAGGCTCATTCTAGTCCTCAAGCCCAATTCCTGAGGCCAAACTCTCAGGATGCCCCAAATTAGGACAAGCACATGGAACCCCAACATGTGGGAACTCTTTTCAGGGGCAAATGCACCAGCGTGCCAATGCCACAATGGGGCCTGAGTATTTTCCAGAAGCATTATTTATTTATTGTTGATCTGTGACATTTATACCCTTTGGTTCTCTCCCCCGCCCCCCTCCCGGCTTGCCCCACAAAAAAGAAGTTGCCAGAGTAGCTTTCAGAATTAAGTACTAAGACTAAGTCAGTCCTTACCCTCAGGACCACATTCCAACAAGACATGGCACACAAGGAAAAAGGCACAGGAGGGTGGAGGGAAAAGCAAGCTCAAGCACAATTTTGTATGATTTCGTTCTTGCTTAAGTTCCGAGGCAATGAACCCACAGCCCTCATGTTGTTGCTGGGCTGCAGTTCCCATCACCCCTGACCACTGGCTGTGCTGGCTGGGGCTGAGGGGAGTTCTAGTCTGTTATGTACTGAGTTGAATAGGATTGGTCCTAGAACAATAGGATTCAGAATGCAGCAGTCTGATTGGTCCTAGAACAATAGAATTCAGAATGCAGCAGTCTGATTGGTTCGCAGGAGCCACCAAATCCAACTCCTGCTGGAAGTGAATCCGCAAACTGATTGGCCTACAGGAGAATCCCAGAATTAGCCAATCACATGGGGCCCATTGTGTAAATAATGTATATAAAGCAGACATTTTGGGGAGACTTCCATTCCTCACTACTCTGAGCTGAATAAAGAGCGTGAAATCCACACTTGACTCCGAGTATATTTCATGGTCCAACAACATCTGGAGTGCCATAGGTTCCCCATCCCTGTTCTAGCTGCTTTTGAATAGCCAGAATTATGGAGGGGGGCACCGTAATGAAAAGAGCAGAGGGGCAGTACCTCCCTTTAACAGAAAACTGATGCATGTAAAATAGCCAAGGCATGGTGTTCAATGCTAGTGCTACCCAGAAGATAATAGACATGACTATCTTAGGTTCATTCATTTCAGTGCGCCTACTTGGGATAGGATTTAGTGGCATATGACCTCAGGCCTTGAAGTATTTCCCTTCCTCTCTCCTCACACTTCTTTACGCTGGTGAATGCAGGCTGTTCTACCTGTTATGCTTTGCTGTGCCTTGAAAGGTGCTCATATTCCACACAATATCTCTTTGTTTGTTCCACTTTCGCAAAGGCTGTGTCTCCAGACTCTTTCCCCAGATTTCCTTTTGTCTGGGACTTATTTGCCTACAGACTTTGCCTTGTTGACCTACTCAAGTTTATTCAGTGGGTGTCTTCCAGACAACCTGGCCAGTGAGCACTCACTCTGATTTGTTTCCAGGGAGAAATGGCAACACTGGTTTTCCTGAGCGTTCATTCTGATTGGTTTGCAGGGAAGGGCAGCTGACATTGTGTCCCAGCCAGGGTTCTCCCGCACTTTGCAGTGCGTTTCCCCATCACTTTCCTTATTGCAAAATGTCTGCTCTTTTGGGGAAGCGGGTTTGTTGTGCAAGAGCTTTCCTTGGGCACCAGGCAAAGGCCTTCTCATGCTCCCCGGACTTTTGGCCCTTAACTGGAAGGGTAGCATTGTGGCTTATTGTAGGACCTGCTGTTCTCCCTTCGTATAGCTGTGCTTTTAGGTTTTTATTCTTGTTCTTCATTGGTTTTAAGGCAAGTCTCCAGAGTGGATTCCTCTAACTCAAGGTTTCTATAACCTCTAGGTGCTCATCAATATTCTGCACAATTAACTTTAGTGAGAAAACCCAGTTTGCACCATTAATGTGCTCTCAAAAACCTTATGGAATTGTATTCACTGCGAGCAGCATTAAAAGTGAAAATCTAAAACAGCAGCCCTTTAAACTTCAGTAAAGCTAATCAAAGGCATTTTCCTGAAAAATTAGAAAAGGGATTTGATGAATATCAGTTAAATGTACTCTCTCACAATCATTCATCAATCCAGCTGGGTTTTGAGATGGTTATTAAACTTTCCCATTGTGCCTCTGACAAATGATTGCCTCAGCTGTGTTGGCATATTTATTTATAGGCCACCTTTATACTGTAGGGGAACTTGATGTTGAACTCCAGGCAGCTCTCTTCAGCTGGGCTCATCCATTCCAGCATCCTCTTCTCACAGTGGCCAACCAGATGCCCTGATGGGAAACTTGCAAGCAGGACCTGGGCACAGAAACAACACTCTCACCACTTGTGCACTTCAGCAAGGGGTGTTCAGAGGCATACAGCTTCTGAATGCCCAGTAACAGGCAAACAGTGGGCCAGGAGTGGAAGCCCTACACCTGGGAGACCAGGGTTCAAATCCCCACTCTGCCATGAAATTCACTGCTTCTCAGCCTAACCTACCTCACAGGGTTGTTGTGGGGATAAAATGAGGAGGACCAGAACTATGTATGCCACCTTGAGCTCCTTAAAGTAAAGGAAATGGGCATTTCCATATTGGCGACACACGGTCTCTTCATCCTGGGGCTTCAGTCCATTGAAAAATGGAGCATGGGATGCTACTGCCTGTGGGGAGCATATGGAAAGAGGCGGCAAATAGGCAAACCCTGCCACTTCCCGGGGAAGCTCCCGGGACAATCTCATTGCACAGCATGCCTGAGCTGTTACGTGCCGGGGTCAGCATATGCTACAGTTTATTGGGATTGCAGGGAAGCCTTTGATTGAGAACCGCAAGGCAGACAAGCGGCTGCAGCAGCTGAAACAAATGGAAGATCAAGGTGGGGAGTGAATACCAAGGGCCTGGAATGCAGGAAGATCCTCGAGTTCTGTGGGAAGGTGTCTTTGATTCATGAGAAGTTGCTGTCTGTGGCTGATGTAACAAAAACAACAGCAGCAGCAGCAGCAGCAGCGACAGGGACACGTCACTGAGGCGGCTTAACTAGCTGCATCAGATTAGGGATGTGCGGCATAGTCTCTGATTTCAAGAGTCACTTTGGGAGTAGCATACAGCTGAACTAATTACTTAGCCCTCCCCCAAAGGAACTGCTTTTTGACAAGAAATTCCATTCTTTTATGTCACAAGACTCCCTTTCATCTCCCTTGTTGCTTCTCAGGGTCTTTCTTTGCCCTCACTGTCCTCAGCCACATTTGCCCACTTTTTGCTGTTTGATCTGATTGGCAGGGGATGACCCATGTGTTATCCATGAGCAGCTGTGACATCATTGTAGCAGAGCCAGTGGCATGCTGTCTCAGATAAACCCACACAGGCCACCGGAGGCAGCTGGATTCAATGGCAGTGTGTGCATATAAGGCTGAGGGCAGTGAGGGCAAAGAGGGGGTGATGATGGCCAACTTGGATAGCTTTAAAGGGGGCATTAGGCAAATTCATGGAGAATACTGCTATCAAGTATTAGTAGTCAAGATGACTGTTCAATCTCCAGGATAGATTAAAGGTAAAGGGACCCCTGACGATTAGGTCCAGTCGTGACCGACTCTGGGGTTGCGGCGCTCATCTCACTTTATTGGCCGAGGGAGCCGGCGTACAGCTTCCGGGTCATGTGGCCAGCATGAGTAAGCCGCTTCTGGCAAATCAGAGCAGCACACGGAAACGCTGTTTACCTTCCCGCTGGAGTTGTACCTATTTATCTACTTGCACTTTGACGTGCTTTTGAACTGCTAGGTTGGCAGGAGCAGGGACTGAGCAACGGAAGCTCACCCCATCGCGGGGATTCGAACCGCCGACCTTCTGATCGGCAAGTCCTAGGCTCTGTGATTTAACCCACAGCCCCACCCGCGTCCCAGGATAGATTACATACACTCCAATACAAAGCAGCCCCAAACTGGGATGCCATCTTCTGGGGCTAAACTTCCACACAGGTTATGTGATTGCATAAGATTCCAACTCCCCTAAAAAGTGTTTTTCAGGATGAGAGTGCAGCCCAACATTGCAAGAAACCACTTGCGAGAAAAAACGGGATGTTGACAGATGTGATTATCAGAATCTGATAGCAAACCCATGTTTTATTTTGATCCCTGTGATAAGTTTTTATGCCCCTTCTTTGCTTCATTGTATGAATTTTTAACCTGTTCTTAACTTATACAACACATATATCTGCCCAATTGCAGGGCAGCCTTGTCAATGGCAGGCTACTCTACATAGCTACTAGCCATGATGGCTACATTCTCCCTCCTCTTTTGAGAGTATGCCTCTGAATACTGGTTGCCAGGAATCACAGGTGGGGAGAGTGCACCCAGGTCCTGCTTCCTGCAGGCATCTGGTTGGCCGGTGTGAGAACAGGGGGCTTGACCAGATGGGCATTGGGTCTGATTCAGCTTTCGCGTTCCTACAGCAAAAGAAAACAGTATCCCAAAGACCAGCAACCAAAGCAATGTGCATATGTTTGCAATAAGTGCCCACAATGCCCCTAAATGTGAAGCACTTTTCAACACTTGCGAAAATGAGCATGAAAAGAGGTAAACAGTTTTCAAGCCAGTTCTATATCTGATTGCAGGGCTTGTCCTGCCTGCGCTCTGGCTGAAACTGGAGAAATGGGTAGCTAAACAAATGGTTCCCATTGAAAGGGGAAGAATGTGGCAGTTGCTGGCACCGGCCTTGATGGCTCTTCAGTGTGCCAATGCCACACCCATGCTCTGACTGGAGTCAAGAGGGCTGCAGTGCACTTTTCTGTACTCCAGTTAGTGTGACATTCAGGCTGCCTAGCTGAAGAAGAGCCTTTTTTATCAGAGTTTATAGGTTAAGAAAAATAAGAAAGTGATTGGGATGAATACAGGATGAATATTCATCGTCGTATATAACTTTCCTGCAAACAATTCAGAAGGAATGCTCTGGAAATAACCGGACACAGTCTAATCTCCACATAAGCTTTGTGCATGCAAATCTGGATGAATGCTTAATAAACTGGTCATCTGGAAGAGATCTTTGTGTAAGGACAGAAGAACAGCCTGGCAGCTGGATTAGACCAGAAGTCCAGCTAGTCCAGCATCCTGGTCTCACAGGAGCCAACCAGGTGCCTGTTGGAAGCCCACAAGCAAGACATAAGCAGAACAGCAGTTTCCCATTTGTGATGCCTCTGACAGTGGAGACAGAACATAGCTAGCAGCTTCCGATAGCCTTGCCCACCATGAAGTTCTCTGATCTCCTTTTAAAGCTAAATTGCTGGTCATTGCTACATCCTGCAGCAGCAAATTCCACTTCACCTATGTGCTGTGTGAAGAAGTCTTTTGCCTTCTCACCCCATGTCATGGTCTAAAACTGCCTTCAGACAGCAGGTCCCCTTCATGTCTACCTGGAGAGGATATAGGGACGCGGGTGGCACTGTGGTCTAGACCACTGAGCCTCTTGGACTTGCCAATCAGAAGGCCGGCAGTTCGAATCCGTGCAATGGGGTGAGCTCCCGTTGCTCTGTCCCAGCTCCTGCCAACCTAGCAGTTCAAAAGAACACCAGTGCAAGTAGACAAACAGGTACTGCTGCGACGGGAAGGTAAACAGCATT